ACGGGGAAGATACAAACGGATATAGAAAATGGTGGAAGTTACATAATATGTAGATGAAAATTATAAAAAAAAGGAAAAAAAAAGAAATAAACCAAAAATATATTTACTAGAGATATCTCATCAATCCATCCAAATTTGTGCTGAATGAAACTAATTGGTGGCAGCATAAACACAGAGCAATGTTATATTAAACAGCTGATTTAAATATATTTGAATGAAATATATTTATATATATATATATATATATATATATATATATATATATATATATTATATATATATATATATATATATATATATATATATATTATATATATATATATATATATATATAAAGGGGACTGGGGTAGCCTTGCGGGCTAAGGTACTTGCAATAGATAATCAAAGTTAAGCAACGCTCAGCGTGGCTACCACTTAGATAAGTGACCGTCCAACAAGGAGAGCAACGCTACTCGAGATTCCTCCCCCCCTCCCCTTCCCTGAGGCCCGTCAGCCTACTGGAGGCAACACACTGACCGGGCGTAGGATTGATGACTCTACCCCGTACTTTAAGTCGGGAATCGGGATGTGTCCTGGAGACCACACTCGCGGTCAAAGATCTTCATGGTCCGTAGCGCCAATCGGATATATATATATATATATATATATATATATATATATATATATATATATATATATATATATATATATATAAAACCAAATTTTCATCTAGATAAATTTTTCAAATTTTCCACAAAACACCACAGCGATCCGCCACATCATGTAAAATTCTGCTTAAAATAATAGAAATACGACCAACCTGCTTGATTATATTTTATAAAATCTCTGGATTTTGGGTATCTGGATATCCAAAAATTTTATACTTCGTGGTTTCAAATTTTATACTTATAAACTTTAATACAAGGGAGGAAATAGTATGACATTGATGGGTATTTGAATCTCTAAGAATGTTTTATGAACAGAAAAACGTGGTTTCTGTTCCACGTATTTCGAACTTGTTTGTGATTGTTGAAATGATAACTTTAGTATAGTTGTATAGGAAATTGAACACCCGTGCATATAGTGCCAATAAATCTGAAATTATTGTTTAAAAAATTATTATTTATGTTGCAGACAAATTTATTGACGTTCCATTCCCTTGATGAGAAATGTCTGTCAGAAATGAGAGTGAAAAACATTTTGTATTTAGAACCTTATTTAAAACAAAAGGGTTCTTCACTCAGTGCTACTACTAATAATGAATGGACAACTACTGTTTGCAGCAACATATTTCTTATCTTGTTACTGAAATGAAACAGAATATTTTTTTTTTTTTTCCTATGATCAAAACTGTGTTCCAACTTGTAATAAAAACTAATTCGTCGTCAATGAAAGAAATCGAAGGCGAAAATAAATCTGAAATATTTCTACTCAAAAATGAAAACTGCAAAAAGAAGTAATATTCCTCAAAAAGCCACTCTGTTTCAAAAATGTACTCGATATGTACAAAAAAGCAACAATAAACTGTATCTGAAAGTCTTCCTCGAAAGTAATTGACCCTCCATAATCATAGAAGTATTATGTCAGCAGTATGCAACCAGAGGAATGCATCCCTCGGAGATTGCCGCATCAGCTTAGGAGGATTGAAAGCTGAAATTAGGCGGAGGACCTGTTAGTGCCCAATTGCCATGACAGCAGTTCCCATTATCACCACAATCAAATGACCAGAACCGCTACTCGAATCAGACATCCCACACAATTCCAACTACAATTACTCCGAAGCTAAGTAGTTAAGGTTAAAAATATAATAGTATAATAATGAAAGAAATTAAACCCAAACCATAAAGCCATAACATACATGTCTATAAAATTCAGGTGAATAGTTAACCTACCAATGTTTCACCTGTTCAGACATCTTCAGAACAGAAAAACAAGATCACATATATGCAAAATGAAAAACAAAGAAAAAGAAAGAAATAGTTTTGCAATGAATGGTCTCTTTTTATGTTTACATTTTACATCTATGTACGGCCTCTCATTTTTGCTTTTATTCACATTGTACTTCTATCTATATTTCTTAATTCCATTTTGTATGTATATGTATATATTTATAATTTATTAGTTCATAGATATAGTATTTTTCTTGTATCCATCAATATCGTCAAATTTTAAATACTGTAATATTCCAGGTTTTGTTTTGTTTTTACTACTTACCCATTCAGACACCAACCGGAACAATTCCTAAAAATTTCATGTAAATCAGATGAACAGTAGTAGGTGATATGTTCGTTACGTCGATTGGACTGCAAACAGGCAGACAGACAGACAGATACCAAACAAAATTTGATCCTTGAAACGTAAAACGCGAGTAAAAATTCTCGATTCTGAGCACATTTTCTTTAACGTCTCTCAATGTTTCCCATCCTTCGGTAGTGAGGAATCATAAAGAAAGAAAAGATTAAAAAAAACAACAACATTTAATAGATAAATCACATCCAAATATCGAAAAATATACTGGAGGAAACAATAGCTTAAATACAGTTTAAACACAGTAGAGGAAAGTTATATTAAACAGCTGATTAGGAGAAATCAGAGGGGGAAAATACGGTTACCAAAAAACTCAAAAAATATAATTAAAAAATCTATCAAATATATTAAATTTAAAAGAGGATAACAAATTAATTAATACCAAAAAAAACAAAACAAGGTATATTTAAAATCCATATTAAATAAAAACCAGTGGAAACACGGCTACTCCAGGAATAATATGTTCAAATATATTTAATATATATATATATTTGAATTAAATATATATTTAAATATAGTTAAATCAGCTGTTTAATATAACATTCCTCTGCGTTTATGCTGTCACCAATTAGTTTCATTCAGCACAAATTTGGATGGATTGATGGGATATCTCTAGTAAATATATTTTTGTTTTATTTATTTTTTTTCCTTTTTTTTGTAATTTTCATCTACATATTATGTAACTTCCACTATTTTATATATATATATATATATATATATATATATATATATATATATATATATAATCTTATCTCTTGTAAACTTCAACAATTTAATGTTTAGAAAAATTGCAGATGGGTAATTTTAAACCAACTTCCTCCTCTCTCCCTCCCAAGAAAAAGGATAACTGTTTAAGGATAATCTTTTTTGACATTATATCAGATTTGAAAATAAGATGGATAAGGAGACTATTATAGTCTTGTCACAGTTTCAATATTCAGTTTTAATATTTAGTTATTCATACGTTTCATAGCCTTCAGAGTCTAAAAAAAACAATTTCTGACCATTGATCTGTGCATGTACCTTTTTTGGAAAGACCCGTTTATAGAAAGGTATTAATCATATTCTTTCAATTAAAAACTGCTATTTCCGTTATATTTTTCCATTAATTTAATAGCATAATTAAATTAATTAACAATTAAATTAAATGATAATTTAGGACTTGCACGTTACCTATCATGTAAGAAAAATGGGGATGGAGGCAAAGTAAAACTTTTCAGGATTACTAAATTTGCAAATGGTTGATTTGACGTTCTGAAATAAATTGGCTATAAATGATTAAATTATTTGAACTAATTTTCCCACCAAATATAAAGGTACTAATGTAATATGGAATTTACTGCCTTTACCATTTCTGTTTGTCGTAAATAATCATTCACCACTCGAGGTTGAATGTTGCAGACTTAGACCGTGAAAGAGGGACTGTGAAACCAGAACATGGTCCCTTGTACTCCGCCCAAGTCCATTTAACATTCTTAGTCGCGGATATGTGAAGAGGGAGTACTGAGAGTTCCAAGCTCCCTTTGGGTCGTTAAGCTTTGCCCTTTGTTTGCTGCTTAATTTCCTTTACTAACTTTGTCGTTGGTTTTACGACCCCTATCAAGATTAAGTTATTTTTAACTACTTTTTTTTCTACTATAGTTGGAGAACTGGTGTCTTTAATAATGCTTTGACCATCTTACTTTGAAAGTAAGAAATATTTAAAACCGCTTTATTTGTATACCGTTATATTGATCCATTTGCTTCTCCTTCTTCCTTCAACTCCTGTATGCGGCGAAGCGTTCAATTGTAGTTTTCCTTCATCTAGTCTACTGATCTCTGTCCCTGGTTGATCTTTTCAAGTCCAGGATTGTGCCTCTTCTTCTTCCGTGCACATTTTTCAAGATGGACTTACAAGTACTATCTGCCCTCTCTGTTCTATCATCCTTTCTACATACATGCCCCTACCATTTTAATTGGCGTTCTTGCAGTCCCTCCTGCTCTTATCAACTAGTCTTCTAATAAACCTCATTTCCGCCAATGTGATCTCACCTCCGTGTTTCTTTATGGTTGTCCAGTTTTTCGATCCATATATGAGAACTGAGAGGAACACAAATATAAATATCCGAATTTCGGCATCTCTACTAAGTTCTAGCTTGCTTATGATAATTTTGAATATCTGATGGTATAGTCCATAAGTCTGAGTCACTCGATTTAGAACCTCCAAGTCCGGTCTACTTAATCATTTTTACTTTTTATGGTCTATTGGAATTGGTCTATTATTCGTTAATTCTTCGGGTTCACCTTTACACAAAATTCTAGTCTCCTCGTTTTCTATTTGACGGACATTTCCTTCTCCAAAATATTTCTATTTGTTTTGACTTTTGCATGATATTATGCTCTTAAAAAGGACCATCTATTTTTCAAAAATAAAATCAACACAACGATCTTAATCTGTTCAGTTCATGATTTTTAGTCTCCAACTATCTTGAACACCAACCGTTCGACACAGTAGACAAGTTAAAGATTTTATTTTCGAATTTCATTTAAGGTATGTAAAAGATTTTTACTGTCTTTAAATTGTTCTTTCATTTCTTTTAAAAATATGAATGTCAATATGATTCCTCATCGTATTTATATATGTTTTCTTATTCATAATATTTAACCGTTGTTTTATTTAATGTTTTGTTAATGTTGCATTCAGCAACCTAACGTTATATGGTTCTCTGTTTCAGATATTTAGTTTTGGAACACGTTTCCGGCGGCGAATTATTCGATTATTTAGTTAAGAAAGGTAGGTTAACTCCGAAAGAGGCTCGGAGGTTCTTTCGACAGATCATCTCAGCCCTCGATTTCTGCCACAGCCACTCGATATGGTGAGTTAAAAGTTTATAATTTTATTATTTAATGTCGCGAAAATGAATTTGGTCAGTTTTTATTATAGATTTTGCGTATAATTTATATAACCAGTCACTAATAATTTATTAATAATACAGTTTGTTCTAATATTTGTACACATATATGCATTCCATTGTATTATTATACATATTTCATTCTTATACATATGATAGATTGTTGTTCGCTCATTGAATAATCTTCTGTTGACTGAAAGTTTGAACTCCTCATTTCCAAGAAGGAACTTCCAGGAAAACTATATCACCAGGCCATGAGCAATGAGGAGGATTTCCAGGAGTCGATCGTTTGAGAACAAGATTTACAGCTGAAGTTCTAACCTCCCACCTCCAAACCTCGAACGCAGGAAACTACTTCGGTCGGCTGAATTATCTCCTTAGGAAATGGTTGTTGCATTCATCATTTTGTCTTCCTTCTCTGTTTCCTTAGTATAGTCTTAATAATAAATATATCATTATCGACCGCTAATCGGATTATCGGTGACTAGAATTTATGAACGTGTTTAGAAATTATTTATTTATTTATTGTTACATTCCGCATCTACCCGAGCGAGTCGTTAGCGGCTTTAGATGGAATCAAATTAGGTGGACAAATTTAATGTCTTTTATAAATTCAAATACTTTTTGTATCTTTTCTTCGTCATCTGAAAGTGCTTCAGATATGTTGGAAGGTATATTATGTTTTGTTTTGGTGCCAGAGTATAGTCTGTAAGTTGTTACAATGTGTTTCAGTGTAAGTGATGTGTTGCATGTTTTACAAAATAGTCGTTCCATGCCTCTCATCAGAAATTAAATTACTTCTGTTATATTTTTACTGGAAAGGACAATAAAAAAATATTATCTAATTAACGTATATACTAAATAACGCAGGACGAATATGACCATTGCCTTTCTCTTAAGTGGTTTCATACTTTAAGCCAATCTCTCCCGAGTATCCATATACTTAATTATCCTTTGTGCAGTACTAAGAAGCCGCCTCCAGTCTTCGTTGCCATTTTCCATTTTCCGCCAAGTCGTCACAATGGCACCTGCATCGTCATCAGCCTCGTCTATTCATCTTAATCGTGGTTATCCATGTCTCCATGCCATTCACATGCCCAAAAGAGAAGTATGATTTGGAGAAAGACGATCTCCTTCTTAGACACATGGCCAGACTATTATAATCTAGCAATTTTTATATTCTGCTTCTGTGTGAGAAATAGGTATTTATCATTGTGTACTCAAGAGTGCTAGATCGCTTATTAACCAAATATTTACCTTGGAAGACAGCCCATCTGTCCCAGCCACTTATCCATTTAAAATTAAACCTAGCAACACTTTAGTTAGAAAGCACTTACCGTGCTGAACCAAGAAAAAAACCATAAGTTACTTCATAATCGGAAATTTTAAGTCGGAAATTTTATTGAGTTGAAAGCTATCTCAAAAAAGCAGGCTTTGGTTGCAAAAAGTGGAGTAATTCTTATTTTCAGATATGTTGCATTTATTGATTTCATAGTGAAACCCCAGGTTTTAAATCCTTTTCTTATACACTTTTCGTCATGTTAGAAAAACGCTAAGAGAAAATACTTTAATATTGTTTTTTGGAATCTTTAAAAATGTTATAACTGATGATAAAGAACATTAATTTTTCTGCATGTTTTATTGATAACATGATAAATATTCCAAATTAGTATTCCTGAATGTAATACTATTTTTAATCCAGCTAATGTGTAATATAACCAACAATATTTCCACGGTGACTAAATAATATATCGTCTGAATTATTTGCGATTTCATTTAATTTAAAATTCGCTACGGAATAGAACAACGTTGTGCAGCGAAATTTTCTAACATCAAACGTATCCAATCCTCTCAGCCCAAAAGTCTTCGAACAGTAGTTAATGCTCCTTTATGTAACTAACAAAACCTTACACCATGACAACATTCCATTTATCCTAGAACTTATTCCAGGAAAATTCTCTAAATTTCACCAGAACCTTTCGTATCATCCAAATCCCCTTGCACAATATCTGCCCAGCAACACCCATCCTTATAATCCTCCAAGAAGATTTAAAATGGCAGTGGCCCTGCGACCTTTTGTGGTATTAATATATTTGAGTTCTGGCAATGGCCAGATTCACCACTCAAGATGTGAATATTGCTTGTCTATTCTACCACTCTCGCTCTATTTACAATGGCTTTAGCACCAGTGATGAGGTTGAAATAGTAGCGCAAGGATATCCTGGAGGCCTGTTTTTCCCTCTATAGTTGGAAAGTCAAACCTAGCTTATAGTTCTCTCACCTAGTTGTAAATATTGTCTATACTTATGTCTGTGTTCTTTTAAATTTCCTTATCTTTAAGTTATTTTATTTATATTTATTGTATATATGTTATTTTTCTGTATTATTTATTTTTATTTATTGTACATATAGTGTGAATGTGATCTCTGAACACTATTATGAATGTCCTTTGAGACAGATTGTAATATTTTTCTTTACTTTTTTATTATTATTTATTAGTTATTTTGCTTCTGTTTATTTCATGCTTTCTGTATATATGGTGTGATTGTGTTCATACCTCACTATTTCCCTTGAGAGAGAATGCTACATTATTGAATAGAAAAAAATTATAATATAATTGAAAATTAAATTTTCGTCGACAACTGATATTTGTAGACTACTAAGGTTTAATACTTAGGTTTAATTATCTTCCCCCATCCTTTCAAAATCTAAAATTCCCGTCGTATTTACATGTTGAATATGAAACATGTTTCTCGTACACCATTTCGGGTATTAATAAATGGATCGAGACCGGATTGCCAATTTACCAAGCAGACTAAACGAAGGCTAAATTGGTTCTCCGGCCCAATTTTGTAATTTTTGACTGGTTGATGTGTGTTTGACTAGTTCTGGAAATCGAACAACTAATTTAGTTTAGTTTATTTATTTTTATTTGTTTTTAATATAAGCATTTTCCGAGTCACGCTCGTAAAATACAAATGTGGATTATTTCATCGTTAATTTTGATATTACCGTTTTTCATAGAGGGAAATATTTGAAAGGTTCATAACAGACATCTACAAAAAATTATTGCTCAATTCCAAGTAGAAAAGTAGGAAATTTAAGATTTGTATTTTTTTTTATTTGAGTCACGTTTTGTTTAATTGGAAGCGATAACGTGAATAATATTTTATTAAGTTATAAAAGTCGGATAAATTTAGTACAGTTAAAGTGTGATAAAAAAAATCACAAATAATTTAGGAATTTTTTTTTAAACAAAACTTAGTTATGTTTGTCCGCTCAATAGTTCTCTTTAAGTAGTTTTAACAATGATAAACTCCACTTCCATTTAAAGTAAATTTTCTCTAGTTTACTATGGAACAATGTTTAATTACTTAAATCAAATATTTTTTTAGCTCTCGCTTTCTATTCAACAAAAAACGTTAGTCACTTAAAATAACACAAATTTAAATTTTCTACTTTTCTGTAGGAAATCGGACAATTGTTTATATGAAATTTTTGTAGATCTTGATGTCTACTATCAGCCATTTAAATATTTCCCTTTACTTGCGGAACATCCTGCATATACTCAACAATAAGCAAAAATTTCGAAAAGAGATATTATGAATGGAACACTCCAAATTCACTTGTATGCCTTGAATCTCAGGCATACAAGTGAACAGTCAAATTGCCATATATATATATATATATATACATATATACATATATACATATTTAATATTATCATTATGCTGTTATTCCATTTAATTCATTTTTATTCATTCTACCTAAGTATGGTGTAAGGAACTTTTTTATTGCTGTTACTAATTTCCTTTGTTGTGACAGAATATAATATAGCTGGATAAAGAATTTTAAAAAAATAATTCATTATGGATATTAATTATGTACAGCAATTATGCGTTTATTTATAATAAATGAGGATTCAGATAGAAAACAGTAATAATTATATATTAATATTGTAATTATGTTAATGTAATAAGAATCAGAGTTTATTTCAGAAAGGGTAGAAATGATTTTGGGAAGGGATTGCGCTTCACTCGAGAATGTTAAATGTTATTTCAATGCCAATGTTAAATCACTGTTCGGGATGCATGGTAATGGCATATCATAATTTTTAAGTCCCTGTCAATACATGTTCCTAAACATTCGTTTGTTAATATTAATAGAGACGGCTTCTGCGTGAAAGAGTGTTCGATCGATTTCCATTTTATAACTATAAATAGAAATCAGATTCCTATCTGGTCGTCCACGTGGCAATTGCGTAAGCTCTCATAGCCTCTTACATGTATGTATGAGAACATAACGTTATTTCACGAAGGTGATGTAAAAAATATCTTCAGTATTTTTTTTTAACTTACATTTTTTATAAGGATAGAATTAAATTAAGTTGTTTATCTTTATCTGAAACAGCTTGAGAAGTCGGTTAGAAAGATTTAGGGCTGGTTCTCATTGTCAGCTTAAAAAAAAACTATAAAAAAATTGAAAAAAAAAATCCTGCTATTTATATATATGCAATATCAATTGGACCTTTTCACGTTAAAAACTAGTTTTTGTACACTTAAATTATTTATTGTTTACATCAGTACCTGGTAATTACTTTAGTGATTGAATACTTACAGGAGGTTCGAATAAGGATAATCTTGATGATTCAATTTTCTTTTATACTTTCTTCAATACTTTCGAATTTCTTTTATATAGTTAAATTATAATATATTAAAAAGTCTTTTAATGGCTCAACCAAAGCAACGCGGATTTCAAAATCTAAATTTAATTTCTTCAAATATAATTTATATGAATTTCTCAACTCTTTCAAGTCTTGAAATTACCTAATAACTCATATATTTTGCTACATTAAAATCTAAATTAATGTTTTTGTCAATTTTTAAATTATTATTAGAATAGTAAAATTAATGTAGGTAATTAATAATTAATAAATAGTTAATGTGTATTTCATTCTGATGTGA